TTCCTTTTTTATTCCTCTTTCTTTCTATTTTAGTTTTAACCCTCGATAGAATGGATCGAAAATTAATAAATAATAATAATGACGATGCTGGTAATAAATTTATTACGAACGAGATACGCTCGCAAAGTCGCGGGATCGCGAGATTTTCAGTGAGAACGTTATAAAATCAGAGACAACTTTAAGTTTTAAGTTTTTCACTGAAAATCTCGCGGTCCTTCGATCTTGTACACCCGTGTATTAGAGATCCGAGAAAAAGCCGGATGCGCCATCGGTCGAGGGTTCAATGGCTGTCTCAATGGCTGTCTCAATGGCTGTTCACCGCGTTTGCACTAGTTAATACGCTCGCGTGGAATCGTTCATTCCGAATTGAATCGAACGCCGCGCGGACCGGATCAACCTCGGACGAGATATCGGTTCAAGCGGTTGCGCCTGCTCTCTTCCGACGCTAGAACTACCGCGGATCGCTCAAAATTAGGCGTATTCGTAATTCTTCTGCGTCCGTTCAACGAGTCTAGTTTTTCTAACAAATTCGGAAACAAACGAATTCGCATTCTATATATACATATAAAGAAAGAGAGAAAGGAAGGAACTCGACGGATACGCGATGCGACTGTGTTCGGTAGCGCTAGCGTTTAAAAAAGGTGGTAAACGGTAAACGCGCAGCTCGGCTTCCGTTCGTTTCCGGCTCGAAACGGAGCCGAGCGGGTAGGAAAAATTTGGAGTAAAGTCGGCGAGTTGCGCGTTTACCGGAGAAACAGATGAAAATTTCTAATATCGGCTGTGTTGCGCTCTAGGAAGATAACGGTCCGAACGACGGTTCTCCGTCGTGCCGGCGAAACGTTTCTGTAAAACTTTCTCGCGACGGAGTCACGGAACATTTCATGTTCGAGTGTATTCCCTCGGGTGGTTTCGTTGCGTGCTCGCAGACTGTCCAACGGTCGAGTTTGTCGCTGTGTCAGCGGTTGCGCGCGATCATTCGTCTAGACCCGAAACTTGTTCACGGCTTCCCGAATCTGCGCCTTTTCACGCGATACTCGAATGATCGTTGCCTGCAGCGTACAGTATCCGCTAATCACTCTCGCGGGACTCTCGATTTCGTTCCACCGAATCTATAGCGATCGAACGAAAGTATTATTTTATCATGGCAGACCGAAAGGTTCAGATACTCTGACCGGAAGAGCGCGTCGCGTCCCTTCCGGAAAGGTCATTAACGGATATTATACTTTTTGAAAACGATTTAACCTGCTAACCAGGTGATTTTTTTATATATATATATTAACGACGAATAAAATAAACGCGATGGATATTTTTGCTGCAATAAACGTAACCGCAACGTAGTCGATACTATTGCGAACGCTATGGTACGGTCGAACGCGAGAATAGTTAGGCAAATGAAGAATGAAATGGAAAATGAAATCGAACGTATAAACCTCGCTAATTCGACGTTGCGTCGGTGTCGTGTTACGGTACTGTTCTTGGTTCCCTTAGCTGTAACACCTTCGGAGTTTTCGCGGAGCCGAAACAAGCCTTTCTTCTAGAGTCGACTAAATTCTGCTAAATTCCGCTGGCAAATCGACGAATCGAACGCCGCGCGTACGAGCGCTCGGAAGAATATCCCCGGAGGAGCGAGGACGCCGAGAGAGAATTTGAGAAAGTCGAGAAACAGCATATAGGACACGCGGTCCGTGTCCGTCAAGCCAAGGAATCGTGTAACTCGACGCGCGCGCGTAATCTAATCTGGAAAACGTTCACGTGCCGACACGTACAAAAAGAGGAACGTACACACTCACACACATACACACACACCACGCACGCATGTCACGTACAACGCACACAGGTACTATTCGGTAGCTGTGCACCCGTCATTGTGAGCGCACGTACGCGTCAACCGGAGGAAAGAATGCGGCGTGGGTATTAAATATACATCTATATAGGTATATGTATGTATGTACATACATACCTAACACATACATATATATATACATATATATAGAGAGA